CCCTTAAACCACGACAAAGTTAGATCAAACCAACTCTGTTCAATGGAGGATGACTATAGCCAAACTAATTGTTGCTATCTTTGTATTCCTATAAAATGTTTCGCTATTTATTTTATTTTATTCGGAAATTTAATAAGCTTTTTAAATTATTTCTAGAAATTGAAAAAAGAAGAAAATTTTAGTTATCTAAATGTTTATTTCATTTTATCCGTATTCCGGCCTCTTGAATTTCAAAAATATTCCATTATAACGGTCTTCCTTTAATACCATGGTATCCTTCAGTTTAATACTTTTAAAAGGAACTAATTTTAGGTCGGTTAAAATGTTTTCACGATATTTGCTCACAAATCCGTTCTTCATGTATCACTTGTTCATTTATTTTTTTTATCAATATTTTTTTTAGAGAAGAGCAGGATTCTCGAACCTCTCCTGAACGTAATTTCGATCCTTCTTTTCTCGACACTTCCAATTTATTGGCCTCCTGCTTTGTGCCTTTAGAGTCCACTCTGGGTTCTTCATTGCAAGATTCAACCGATAGCCGCCCTCAGTTAGTTGCAAATATATCTTGTGAATCTTCCCCAGCCCACGGAGCACACAAGTCTTGTGAGATAACGAATGATCCTTCGGCTGAGGTATTGCCTTCCTAGACCTGTTTTGCTTTATTAAGGAGACTTGTATCTTACTTAATCATCACACACCTTTTAGTACCCATCTCACTATCTAGGTCTTATTTTGATATTTTTTGTCATACTATCACTTTACCTAGAAGAGGTCTTATCCGTCTCTTTCCTTGTGAAGCTGTTCCAAAAAAGTATTACATTATCACTATAGGACGATTTATATTTACCCATAGGATATTATCTTTCCATATGTCCTTATACTTATTTTCGGCTAGAAATTATGCAACAGAGCCTGCTGGCTTGTGCGATCTTAGCTCGGCATACTATGATTGTGTTATTTACTTTATGCTTACCATACCTGCCTGTAGATGGATTAATTAGATTCATGAAAGCGGAATGGATGTTATCGCAACTATTTCCTTATATAAATAAACCAACATTCTCAATGTTGACGTATGTTTAGGTTCGTGATATCGTGTATTGTTTGTATGCAGCGGACCAGTCCTGTTTAGTGTAATAGACCTAACTAGGCTCGAGGCTATTCCAGCCTCTTGCCCAGCGGTTATTCCTGCCCACTTCCTCTTTCCCTCCGTAATCCTTTCGTAACAGCTATAAATAGTTTGCGTTCAATTTACTATTCAGGGTTTTGGCAGTATTATTTATTACTATGATGTGCCTAGCCTTACGTTTGGATT